GCATCATATTTTTGGTGATTTTTATCTGACTCTGGGCTGTTTTTCTAGATAGTTGATTCTGCCTCCTCATACTCTCTGCTTTGATTAATTTGAACTTGAACATACTCACAATGGCATATTGTAGTTTGAACTCTTCTGCTGCAGTATTTCTAACACTGGGTCCTTCCTTCACGTTGATAGCCCATAACACTCTTGAGAGGCCTCATTTAGGAAGATATTATAGCTAGATAATAAATGTTAAAGAGATGAATGTGTTAGAAAAAGTAAGGAAGGATATTCTTGCTCTATTACAGAAAGTTTGCTTTCCCCTATAAATGATTATTCATGAGATAAAATTTAAATTAAAAAAGGATTCATTTCCATTAAGTTCAGAGACAGTTGCAAAACATAAAATTCTTCTCATCGTATGTCACACAAGAAAATTAATGGCCTGGAAACGTACAGCTGCTTGACCAGTTTACAGGCCTTTAGTACCTAGTATAACTGGGCTAATAAGGCCCAGTTAACTATAACTCTGACGTGGAAGCCAGTTTGCAGCTGTCTTAATTCTGTGTAGGAGATAGAACTGACAGTTCAATAACACTAATGATCAATTTTAAAGGTTTGATGTTTAACTAGGTTTCTTTCCCTTCCGATGCATGGGGGAGAGGTGGGGGTACTTGAACCAAGTACACTGAAAATTGGACTATGTCAGGTATAGGTAATATTTAAGCTAATTTTGTAATTCTTATTCCAAATGGAAAGTGTTTATACTTGTATAAGGTACTGTTTTACTCTACAAATGTGAAAAGCTTCTGAGGTTTTACAGTCTCACCAAGAAAGTAAATTTTTCCAAAAACTGAAATTGATGTGCCTTTTAAAAATCTCATTTAGGTAATGTTAATTTTTTTTTAAGTTTCAAAACTCTGGAGCCTTAATCTCAAGCATAGCACTGTAAAGTGATTAGGCTTTCAAAATCAATTGTTGAACAACTAAGCCAAAGAACTTATTTATTTAACAAATACAGATGTCTAACATGTAGCTGCCTCTGTAGACACCATAATACGTTCAATATATTGCTGCCCTCAAAGAGCTGTTATTCCAAGAGGAGGGATGGGTAAAGAAGGAACCCATCGTGAGACTGACTGTGTGGTTCCGATGACAGAAGTAAGCACAGGGAAATCTGGGGGCACAGAAGGGTACTTGTGGATACCTAGGATCTAGAAAGGCTTCTTATAAGAGATGACTCTTGCCCTGAGGCCTAGTGGGATTACTAGAAGCTAGTCCTGCCAGAGGTCCCTTCCAGCCTTATGAAGCTGCATGTGGAAGGAGGTGAGAGGAAGCAGTTTGTCCTGGGAACTGCCTGGGGTTCAGTACCTGCGTGGCGGGGGAGCAGAGCTCAGCAGAGCTCAACTGGAGCCTGCTGGCAGTGCAGACATCAAAAAGTTTTTTTTTTTTCCAGCAGGATCAATAAGTGATCAAATTACAATAAAAAAAAAAAAACCACTTTGAAATTTGGAGAATAGATTAGAAGTGGGTAAGGTTAATGGCAAAAAGATCAATTAGGAAGCTGAGAGAAATTAAGGAGAGACAACGGGAACTCTTCCGAAATAGTGTTTAGTCCAGTACAGGGCACCAAGTAAATATGTATTAAATGAACAAATAAAGATCAATGCAAACTGGAAGACCTAATATAAAGTCCATCTGTTGCTTTCTGAAAGATCTTTCTGTTCTCTGAAATGGTTATAAAATTTTATGCTCGCATGCATTTTCTGAGTGTCATTAACTTTCATCAGATGCATAAAAGATCCATGACCCTCTAAAAGAAGGAAAACTACTGGGTTAGATGTTAGTCTGGCAGAATAGAAACCTTGTGTAATGAATGCTCCACAGAGCTTTGTATTTAGTCATTTCAATCAAAGGCTAACATTTATGGAAGAAATTATCAGCTATGCTAGTAACAGAAAGCTGGAACAGGTACCTAATTATGCCGGGAGTCAAAGTACAGATTCAAAGAGAAACTAACTGTTTGGACAGAAGTGAATAAAAAGTTGTAATTAGATTCATAGACCAGCTGCACTGTAGTGGATGTGGAATGGAAGATGCTCACCTTAACAATTTTTGTGAACTATTGTTCTTTAACAGCTTTTGGGCATGAGGGAAAGGGGAGAGCCCCAGGAGTTTTATGAGGTGGTAAGTGCTTCATCACTAGAATCCTTTAAGGAGAGGCAGAATCCCAGGGAAGAGATGTTGTACAGGAGTGAGGCCATATGGAGAATAAGAAAGAAGTCTTCACTGAATGGGAGGCTAGACTGGCCTTCAAAGATTATTGAGTGCCAAAATGAAAAGTTTCCTTATATAGAGACTCACAGAAAATGGACTTAACATAAACCTCCTCTGTACTGTCAACAGTATACTAAGACAGTTTTTGAAATTTAAAACTCATTTTAAATAGTCCTGATCTGAGAATCAGGCACAATTTTTAACTGTTTCTAATAGAAAAATATGAAAGGAAAAAAAGCCAAAGACATATCTCTTTTGCCTATCATGATCCTCCTGTGTATTCGAGGGGTGTTCTCCCTCCCTTGTTGCTTATTTACAGGAGCACTGTTATGAGGGTGGAGTTGGCCGTCTGGCTGCAGCCTGAGCTAGTCAGTCGGTGGTGTATTTTGTAGCATATGTGAATTTCCCTTTCAGAAAGTAGGTCTGTCTGTGCCTGTGTACTCTTTTCCTAGTTCTTATAGAACAGTAAAATCTCAATGCATATCTGAAGGAGTGCTAAGGAAAGAGGAAGCTTTTTTTCTGTCTCTGTTTTCAGTGAAAAGACAATAGTTAAAAGAGCTATGCCCAAAGCCCTAGACTTTAATTTTACTCAGTTGCAGAAATTTCATTAGAATGTAAGCATTGATTTACTGAAATACATATTTGTCAATACAGCCATTTTAAAAGTCAGAGGGCAAAAATTGTTTCAGTTTGTTTGTTATATAGCTTGGGAATTTTTTTCTGTTCACATTCTTTTAATCTTAGATTCACCAAATACAGGATTCGTCCTACACAGTTAGGTGTTTCCTGTCTTGTTAACCTTTAGTGGTTACCAAGCTCTTTTTCCTTTTCAGTATGATACATTACTTTTTAAAAGGCATTTTTAAAAATCAAGCTCTCTTGTTTGCATTTTTCTATAGAAACAAGTCCTATTTAATATTGAGGTTTCTGTGTTTGCAGTGAATACAATTAATTTGTAATTTGTCAGGTATCTATTCTGCTTTGCTGCCTAGAGTGAAACAAATTAAAGATCGCTGGTTTCTCTTCACTTGTTTTTCACCTGTCTTGACAAAAATGTGAGAATTTGACATTTTAGGAATCCTAATTTTATATGTTTCTATCACTGTAAATTTTAAACTTTTCTGTAATTTAGATCTCAGTAGGATCCTAGGGCTTTTTGTACAGAAGACATATGTAAATCTTCTAAATGATTTCCATTTATTTTTGAATAAGTAGTATATTCAAAATTCAGAAGGTGTAAAGTGATATGTAAAATGTGTTCTTCTGCTACTGTTGCTCCACAAGACCCAATATTATCAGTTTTTGTGTACAGTTCC